AAAATCGAACTCTCAAAAAAATTAACGCTAGAGGGCATGGTGGGTGCACCGGTAGTCCCGATACTTGGGAGGCTGAGGCAGGAGGGCAACTTCAGTCCAGGAGTCAGGGAGCCTGGGCAACAGAGCAAGATAAGAGGGAGGGAGAGGGACAGAACTCCACAGGCACATATATTTTAGGATAAAAAACCTTAAATTCTTTTGCACCAATACTCCCTATTCTGTCTGCTTTATTTTCTAAACACTGGCCACCATCTAACATACATATTTTCTTGTTTTGCTTGATGGCTTATTTGTTCCACTAAAATATTAGTTTTATAAGTGTAAGGATTCTTATCAGTTTTGTCCCCTGATCTATCTCCAGAGCTTAGCAAGGTGCCTGGCACATAGTAGGCCCTCCAATGTTTGTTGAATGAATACATTCCCATCTGAAGGGCATTCTATTACAAATTCTATAAAAATATGCCCAACACTTAGTGGCTTCAGCCACAGACTGAACAAACCACAGGAGACTCTTGCATGTGAAAGGCAAGCCACCAACTAGCCCTTTCAAGGGCACTGCAGTCCCTTTGACAGATGCTTATCAAGCTCCTACCACGACTTGTTCTCGAAGAGCTCTGTGTGGAGGGGATACCAGGCCAGCAATGCACAGTGCGTCCTGTCTCACACGTTAGTCAAGGAGTACAAGTGGATCGGGAGAGAAATCAGGAGCTGCCAGGGAGGTGTTCTCAGTGACAGCAAGTGTCCCTGAAAGGGACTTCGGAAGAAAAAAGTGAAAGTGGCAGGCAACTGGGGCAGGGCAAAGGATCCCCAGATGAGTCAGGTGTTGGGGAGGCAACAAAGCTGCACCCAGTGCCACGGTACAAAACAGAGCCCCAGGAGGGCAGAGGGGCGGGACTCAACATCCCCGCCACCTGGAGGAACACACTGCCCGCCCCAGGGCACAGAGGTGGCGGAACAAAGCAGTCACCGTATTGCACCTGCAGGCAGACAAGCGGCAGACCGCACCCACCACTGTGTGGGCTCCTCACATCACTCACGGCAGCAAGACCACCCTGACGCAGATTCTCCGGCTTGAACCTGGAAAAGAGGAACTAGAGGAGATCCTTCCTCGTCCTCATCCCACTCCTCTGCACTCAGAATGCCACATCCATGCACACCTCCAGTTTCCCTTCCAGGAAAGTGTAAGGTTGTTTTTCTGCAGCCGACTGATGTTTCCAACCAAGTACCTGAATACAGAGTACTTCCCAGGAAGGGCTGATGCCTGGGCTGCAAACCTGGTACAACAGGCCAGGGCACAGTTCAATTGTTTTATGGTAAAGCCACAAACCAAACAGCGACAAAAAAGTTCAAACAACCTCTGCTCACTACAGGCCAGAAAGTCCTAGACCTCCTCTGGTAGTTGAATATGCCTCTGTGCCTGGCTTCTTAATTCTTAAATACATAAGTTTCTATTAGAGCTCTCAGGTCACAAAATTTCTGAGGCCAAATTTTATGTGTATTTTACTAATTGTGTAAGAGTGTGTGTGTACGTGCACATGCGCACACACCCCCTACTGGGGATCGCTCTACCACTGAGCCATATCCTCAGTCCTTTTTGCTTTTTTGAGACAGGGTCTTGCTAAGTTGCCCATCCTGGCCATGAACTTGTGATCCCCCTGCCTCAGCCTCTGGAATAGATGGGATCACAGGCAAGTGCCATCCTGCTGATCAACACCTCCCCCCATTTCCTGTTTTTAAAGAAAGGACACATCAATGTTTCCTGGAACTTACTTATTCATGGAGCTTTTGTCACAGTGCATTGGATGAACACCTCCTTGGAATATACTTTTCTCCTTCCTAGGTTATAAATTCCTAGGGGGCAAGGAAGTATGGTTGGTATCTCTTTATAATCCCACAGCATTTAATATGTTGATTGATTTGAAAGTGATCTTTAGAATAGGAGTAGGACATTTATTTTGACTGCTAAATTGTTCTGTATCAGGGTTTAAGTTGGGTTTTTGTGGATATAAACATTGATAGAACAGAATTTTTTAAAAAGAGAACAAGCTAGTCAAGCATGGTGGAACATGCACTTCAGGAGACTGAGGCAGGAGAATTGCCAAGTTTGAGGCCAGCCTCAGTAACTTAGTGAGGCCTTGAGCAACTTAGTGAGATCCTGGGCAAAGTAATAAATAAATAAATAAATAAATAAATAAATAAAAGGGCTGGGGATATAGCTCAGTGATATAGTGCCCCTGAGATCCATCCCCAGTACCAAAAACAAAACAAACACAAGAATAAAATAAAATAAAGAAGTTCTAACACAGACTCAAGCATTGCCTTAATGCCTATCCCATTAGTGATGGGAAAGTGCCTTCAACAAATCATTTTTGAAAGAATAGAAAATCACCATCATTTACTGGATTACAGATACTGGTTCAAAACATCTGTCCAAAACCCAAAACTGCCTTTGGAATATCACTAGTCAAATTTTAGTTGTTGTTCTACTTGATTCACTGACTTAAGAGCCAGGCAGAGGGAGTAAGCCTGTGATCCCAGCTGCTAAGGAGATGGAGGCAGTAGGGTCACAAGTTTCAAGACAGCCTGGGCAATTTAGAGAGACCCTGTCTCAAAAATTAAAGAGATAGGAATGCAGTTCAGTGGTAAAGTGTTCTAGAGTTCAATCCCCAGGAATGGAAAAAAAAAAGTCATTAAAAGAGCCTGCCAAAAGTTAGCACTCAGAATAAAACTGTCTCACACAACCAAGAAGAAAATCCTGCCTCTGCCTGCTGAGCTACCAAGATTATAGGCATGCGCCAACCAAAAATTGTGTGGATGAAGCAATACATTAGGTCTATGGGGGTATTGGGTCAACCAGTGAGCATACAAGTGGGAGTGGATGATGGGGAAGCTTGAACCATTGTCTTCACATCTCACTTGTTTCTTAATCTCAGAGACGGTGTCCCTTCTCATCTTTGCAAAAGCAGCGCAGTTAGAACCCATTTCTAGGGGAACCATATACATCCTTACACCAACTTAATAGTTTTAACAATGTGTATTTTTAAAAACCTGCATTTAAAAGTGAGCATTTCATCCCAGAAAAATCTCTGGTCACATTTAAATAACCAGAAGGAATGATTTTCTCATAAAATAACAAGGGTCCAGTGAAGCGACAGAACCATACAGTTAACGGAGAGAATTTAATGTCAAGGTTTCCTTTATGTTTTTTTTTTTTTTTTTTTTTGGTGGAGTGCTGGGGATTGAACCCAGGGTCTTGCACATTCTCCCACTGAGTCACACCCCAATCCTAAATATAAGGAAAATCGTACACCAGAGGTTTAAAGAAGGATCATGTTCTGTTCCATGACAAGACGTGCAGATACCATGGTCTGAACAAACTCAAAAGTTCAGTGCAAAGACGCAGTACATAGTTAGAAAGAACAGACTAGAAATTTACTTAGGGCTGCCCCAAGAGAATGTTCTAAGTCAAGGTTTCTCAACATTGCACTATGGACATGTAGACTGGGCAATTCTTTGTTATGGGGTAGGATATTTACCACTATCCTGGGCCTCTATCCATTAGACGCCACTCCATCCAAATTGTGATGATCAAAAATATCTCTAGACATTGTAAATGTACATTGGGGAGCAAGAACCACTTGTGTCCAGGTAATGACTTTAAATTTTACAATAAAAGGAAATGGACCCTGTCCACAACTAGATTTATGATTTACTATGCATAAATTTATACTTTAACCCTAGCAACTCTGCCCACATGAAATATAAACAACTGCAAATCCTCTTTTAGATCAAATTAGCAAACACAGAACAGCTATTACAGTACTTGTGTGGTGTAATAGCCACTAGCCACATATCAGTACTGAGCATGTGTCTGGTCTGAATTGAGAAGTTCATGTTGAAGTGTAAAGTTCATATTGGATTTCAAAGATTACATGTGAAAAAATTCAATATTTAAAAAAAATTGGCTTAACAGGATTCACTTTCACCTATTTCTTTTAGCTTCTTAAAAAGCGCCTATTTTACAATTTATAATAACATTAGCATTTGTGGCCTGCATCTCATTGCTATTGGACCGTGTTAGCTTATACACTGTGAATACTGGACATACCCAACCGCTGGTTCAACAGGCATCTCAAGGGTTTGTTTTTTGTTTGTTGTGTTTTGTTGTAGTGCTAAAGATTCAACCCAGGCTCTCACAAGCTGGGCAAGTGCTCTACCACTACAACCCCAGCCCTGCTACAGATTATTAAGCAATCTGAAGTTCTTTTTAAGTCAATACATCATCTTTTAGATAACCTATCTTTCCAAAAGTTACTGTCAAATGACATGCCCTTGGATTTTATAGCGTTTTCTACTTGAAAACATTAAATGCATTTGTCTTGGTATTTATTACTCCCTGTTTTTCACAAAAGCAGTTATTATTTACCTGTTAAATACAATCTGAGGATTGTGTTCCGGAGACCCAGGAAGGGCTGCAGCTGATCAGTATGTAAACTCCACTTCCACGTCATTTCCAAATCCCCCAGTACCCTATACCCACCAGAAAAACACTATGCATTTAATTCAGGAAAGACTCAAAAAGTTCTTGGGTCGGGTTCTTCCAACCGACAGCAGCAGGTTATCCGCGCCCACCTGTAAGCGGGTCCGCACCGCGAGCCGGACGGCGGCGAGCGCGCGGGCGAGCGGGCAGGGCCGGCCAGGCCGGGCGGCGCTCCTCCCGCGGCGACCCGTCGCTCCCGCCGCCGCACCCGGCGCGGGCAGCTCCGCGGAACGCAGCCCCCGGGGTGGGCGAAGCGCCTGGCCAGGCCGGAGCGCCTCTGTGACGTCCGCCAGACCCAGCAGAGGGCGACTTCCGCCTGCGTCTGGGCGCCGCCCGGCTCCAGCCGCCTCCCCGCGCCCAGCGTGCGCGACACCCCGGCCGCTGCCGCTCCGACCCGTGCAGCTGCGGGGCTCCCCGCGCACGTCCCGGGCTCCACCCGCCCGTCGCTCCGCCTCGATACCTTTTCCAAAACTCTATCGAAGCCGGGCGACCTGAACAGGGCCTTCATCGCTTCCCGCGCGTTCTGCATCAGGCCGCTCATCGTGCACGCACTGCGAGCCTCCGGGTTCCCTGCACGCCCCGACCTCGGAGGACACGTTCCCGGCAGCCAAGGGCAGCGCGGGGTGCAGGGGCCCCGCCCGCTGCGCTGTTGACCGAACGCGCAGGCGCGTTGTGTCCTCAACGCCGCGGGCCGCAGAGAGCCGAGCGCGTTTCCGGCCGGACTGCTGACTGGGAGCACCGGCGCGTCGGGCGCCTGCGCAGAGCGCGCACGGGCGACGGGCGGCGCGAGTGATGGAGCGGGTGGACTGCGTGGTAGCGGCGCCGGACGAGGGGGAACCCGAGGGGAAGAGGCGGCGGCTTCTGTGCGAGGACTTCGCCTCGGTGGCGCGCTGCGACGCCGGCGTGGCCCAGTGCTACCTGGCCGAGAACGACTGGGAGATGGAAGTACGCTTGGCCGCCTCCGCCCCGCGCCTCGCCTTGCCGCGGCGCCCCCGCTGCAGCCTGTGCCTTTGCCTTTCAGAGAGCGCTGAACTCCTACTTCGAGCCGCCGGTGGAGGAGAGCGCCGAGGAGGGCCGCCCCGGGGAGGCGTCGCCGCCCGCGGCCTGGTGAGCGGGCGCCCGGGGGCGGGCGTCCCGAGCTACGTCCCTATTTACTTATTTATTTACTTATTTTTTTTTTTTGGTTCTGGGGATTGAACGCGGGGGCACTCGACCACTGAGCCACGTCCCAGCCCTGTGCCGTATTTTACCTAGAGGCAGGGTCTCCCCGAGATGCTAAGCTCTCGCCATCGCTGAGGCTGGCTTTGAACTCGCCGTCCTCCTGCCCCCGCCTCCCGAGCCGCCGGGATGACGGGCCTGCGCCCGCGCCCGGATCCCTGTTCTGAGACTGCGGCTGCCCGTTACCCGCTGTCCGCAAGCTTGGCTGACGGGCCTGCGCCACTGCGCCTGGCTCTGATGACAGTTTCACCTGAATTGTACGAAATTTGAAAGGAATGAGGTTAGATCCTCTGTCAAAAAATGGTAACTTGCCAGGTGTAGTGATGCACACCTGGAATCCCAGCAGCTCGGGAGGCCGAGGCAAGGGTCACCAGTTCAAAGCCAGCCTCAGCAACTTAGCCAGGCCCCGGGTCACACAAGCGCTCCTGGGTTCAAGCCCTGCTACTCTCCTCCCTCCCAAGAATGGTTACTTGAAGTCTCCTTGTTTTCTGTTTGTTTGCTCTCTGCTGGCCAACCAGAACAGTAGGTTTTGGTGGTGGTTTTAATCCACACTCCTTTTATTTAAGTGACCTGTCCCCAGTTCCTGCTTTATTGCTCATAAAATAAAGCCCATTTGCCTTATAAGTTCCATTGTCACTCTGCCTATCATTCCAGGATGTTCATCTGCCACCCTCTTTTTCCTTTTACGGGAAGAATTCCAGACATCAAACTTTCATTTATTCCAGTGGACCATATTTGTTTTTCTTTATTACCTTTGCTTGAGACTTTCTCTTTCTCCTTCCTTCCTTACTAATATTTATCTTAGAGGACTCAGTTTAGGCATGATACCTGCTGAAAATTTCATGACCTTTCAAGTCTGGATAAGCTTCCCCCTTTAGGTACTTGTATATAGCATCTTGGGTGATCGTTGTCATAACTTGCTCCATACTCTTAACTGTGGTTCAGTATTTTATATCTTCTACTACACTACACGTTTGGTAAAGACATCTGTTTTATTTATTATTGATTTCTCAAAAATATGACACAATATTTGGCAGGTAATAGTCTCAGCTAGTGTGTGTTGAATTATGAAGTTCTTCCCACTTTATGGATAGCCTGTACTGTTGGCTAGTCACAGTGCAGACTCTTTTCTGAGTCATTGTCTGTTATTTGTAACAGACTGATAAATCAAAACAAAGTAAGTGAACTCCTTGATATAGGTCCTCACAAAAAATGTACTGAGTTGAGTAGTGTGACATGGGGGCTATTAGAAGTCCCCTACTCTAGAATGGTACCTTGGTAGGGGGGGGGAAGTTATAAGGCTGTAGTCTGTTGTCTCTTAAACCTCTGAGCAACTACTGAGAAGACTGCGGCTTTAGTTTTCTCAGCTCTCCTGAGGAAAATAGAGAAAGGTCAAGCTTCTGGGTGTTTCTAATGCGTAAATATTCATGTATCATGACCTGATTAGATTTTTGATGTTGGCTTTAGGAAGATTTTGTGACCAGAAAAATTGAAGCCGCTGCACAAGGGCTTTGATTATGTTAAAGCAGTGGGTAGAACCTTCAGTAAATTCCTAAGATATTAGCAAAAACAAACAACACTAAAGTGATTTAGCCTCTACATTAGAATCTATATTTAGTGTGTCTCAGGAGAGACAAGGAAAATTTTTCTTAAAACCAGGTGTGCTGTGTTGAATCTTAGCTACGGATTAAAATTACCTGGGGAGTTAAAAAAAAAATTTTTTTTGTCCTGGGGCCCCACTCCATAGAGAGCTTAATTAGTGTGAAGTGGGACCCATTTATTCCTTATCGACTTTTAAAAAATATTTTTGTAGTTGTAGATGGACACAATGTCTTTATTTTATTTTATTTATTTATGTGGTGCTGAGGATCGAACCCAGTGCCTCACACATTCGAGGCAAGTGCTCAACCACTGGGTCATAACCCCAGTCCCACCTTATTGACCTTTTTTTTTTTTTTTTTTTTTAAGGAGCTCCGGTGATTCTGATGTTGAGCCTGCCTCTTGCATGTTTCTGTTCACAGCGTTCTTACTCCTAACCAACAGCATGACACTGCCTGGGGATTTGTTAGACATGCCAAATCTCAGGTCCCCTCCCAAACCTGCTGAATCATAATCTGCATTTTGACAAGACCTCAGGTGATTTAAAGCCGAGGAACTCTGTTCTCAAACATAGAACCTGAGGCATCAGATAGACTAAAGCATTTGCTACTGGAGAGGAAGTCAAGTTCAGTTTCCTTATTATTTCTGTTCAACACTAGTTTTGGAGTTTGTTTCTCTCTCCATTTTTCTGAATGGAAGTTTTTATTGCAGTTCTTTGGGTACTTTTCCCACATTAAGTATTATGGATACTTATGGAACTTATTATGGATATTTATGCATAAATTACACACATGGTGTTGGATTACAGTGAAACAAGGAGAAGAACTAATAGTGCAGTAAATAAGATCATAAATTCTGGAGCCAAAATGCAAAGATATAAATCCACCTGTGCCATTTAGTAACCGAGTAACCTTTCTCTTGAGGTGTGTAATAGTACCTACCTCATTGGGGTTGTTCTAAGGATTGAATGAGTTAATAGATATAAGACCCTTGGAGTAGGCCTGGCACTTAGGAAGAGGTCAGTAAATGTCAGCTCTGATTAAGAACACTATTGTGCTTTATTCATGACAGCACTCCATGACAATCCCATCTATTGGGACTTTGGATTGTCTTCCATTGAGGAGAGTAGAAAGAGTGCTTACATTTTGTATGAAGTAGTTACAGGTGGTCATCTTTAAACTTTGAAAGGAAGATTGGGCATAGTGGTGCATACTTGTAATCCCAGCAACTTGAAATAGGATTCTAAGTTTGAGGACAGCTTCTACAATTTAGTGCAAGACCCTGACTCAAAAAAATAGAAAGGGGTGGGGATATAACTCAGTGGTAGAGCACCCCTGGGTTCTGTGCTGATCAGATCCTTTAGTCACAGCAGTGAGAAAGCTGACTAAAACAATTATGATCAAGAATTTAATTTACCTTACATAGCTATATGATGTAGTACTTTTATATGACTGACCGTACAATTTGTGCATACCAGCATCACCCCCAAACACCCAAGTAATGTGATGTTAAATTTAAGATGGCTGGGGCTGGGGCTGTAGCTCAGTGGTAGAGCGCTTGCTTCGCATGCATGAGGCACTGGGTTCAGTCCTCAGCACCACATAAAAATGAATTTTAAAAAATACAGATAGTTTGTCCATCTACAACTAAAATTTTTAAAAATAAATTTAAGATGGCTACAAGGTAACTAAATGATAGGAATTTTTCAGCTCCATTATAATCTTATGGGATCACTGTCATATATGCAGCCCAGTTCAGTACTATACACATTTTAAAATATATAACTGTGGAAGAAAAAAATTGGACAAAAGTGAAGGGCTGATATTGCTGCCTTTTTTTTTTTTTTTTTAATGCTTCCAATGAAAGAGGAAGGTGCTAACATTCTTGACAAAATACTAGAATCATTTAGCTTTTTCTCTTTGGCAATAAGAGTTTGAAAAAATATACAATAGTAAATAATTATTGAGAAAGAAAGAGCTTTTGGGGAGGATAAAACTCAAAGGAAAGTTTTGCACTTACACATTTTTTTTAATGCTCTCAAATGTGGTGTATAAAAAAGACAACTTAAAAGATTTATATTTTGTTTCAAAATTGTCATTAAGTTCATCTGGCACCAAGATAGATGTTGGCTTCTAAACACAGTTCTTCACTAAAAGGAACAAGGGCCTCTTAGAAATGAGTGATTCCAGAGCAAAGGCAAGTTAAGCTACTTATAAAGAAAAAGTGGTTTTTTCAGTTCACAGTTTTGGAATCTGAAAGTCTAAACAACATGGCACAGGCTCTGGAGAGGGCCTGGTATGGCACATGGATGACAGGAGTACATGCAGGCGGACCAATCACATCTTGACACAGGAAGCCACAGAGTGACTAGGTAGGCTCAGGGTTTTTTTAAAGAACCCACTCTTGTGAGAACTTGCTCCCTGAATCCAGTATTCCTTCTAAGGACAGGAATCCCACTGACCTAAGGACTTCCACAGGGCTGGGATTGTGGCTCAGCGGTAGAGCACTCGCCTAGCATGCGTGAGGCCTGGGTTCGATCCTCAGCACCACATAAAAATAAATAAATAAAATAAAGGTATAAAAAAAAAAAAAGGACTTCCACAAGGGCCCACTCCTTAAAAATCCCAGTACTGCCGCCCCGGGAACCAAGCCTCAAACACATGAATATATGCTTAACAAACAACATCTAAGCCATAGCAGTCAGCATTAAGTTAATTAAAACTATAGATTTCTTGAACTTATAGTTTATAAATACTTAGCAGTCATCTTTTTTTAATATTATTTTATTTATTTATATGTGGTGCTGAGGTTCGAACCCAGGGCCTCACATGCAGGCGAGTGTTCTACCTCTGAGCCACACCTCAGCCCCTTAGCAGTCATCTTTAATGTTTTCTCTCTTCACTCATTTATTTGGGGCCTTAATGTGGGTGCAGTAGAGTTTGGGTAGAACTATGGACTGGAGAACTTAAATATGGCCTCTCGTGGCAGTCTTAAGATAGTCCGGCCTCTAAGGGGCAACTCAAGGTTCCAAAAGGCCTGAGTGGAAGCTGCAGGGCTTATGACCAAGCCTCAGAAGTCCTAGCATATCCCTTCCACTGTACTGTCCTCTATTCGTCAAACAAGTCACTAAAGTCCAATTCAAGGGGAGGAATACTAGACTTCCCCACTCAACTAAGGAAATAGAAAAGGATTTGCAGTTGTTTTTTTAATCTAAAACAGTGAGCTCTTACTTTAAATAACATAATCCAAGTAAATTTGGAACTCTTACATTTCCTAGTCTAGTTTGAGGCTCTGGTTATTTTATGTGCATGTGTGATGTGGGGGCCCCAACCCAGGACTTTGCACATGCTAGGCAAGCATGCTACCCCTGAGCTACATCACCAGCCCTCTTAAAAAATTATTTTAATGACACCTGAAGGATATTGAATTGGTTATAACTATGTAAGTGAGCAAACATTTGGATAACACAGAATCTATTTTTCCTCAGTCATTTAACATTTAGTCTTCTATGAACAGATATTTTTAGGGCTTTCTTAAATTTCACTTACGGGTTAATCCCCACAACCTTGCCTCAGCAGGAGTAGCTTAGAGATTTCGTAGAAATGGAATGTAGAAATGTAACCGTGGTCCACTTTATTCTTTGAATTAGCCCTTGCTACTCTGCCACTGTGACTTATTTTTAAATGGACATGTTTTTTTCTCTTCCTCTCTGCCTGCTCCTCCCTAATCTTGGAGGAAACAGGATTACCTTTCTTCCCCATCTAGGCAGGGTTATCTGTCCTTGAGCACTCACCCACCACAGGAACAAAGTAATTCAGACTTTGGGGATGGTACCAGAAATCTCAGAAATGACCCTCTCATATTAACAAGTGAAATTCAAATCCAGTAAAAGCCCCCTGTTCCCCTTGGTGGGCAGAATCACAGCCTCTGGGACAGGAGTTGCCTGTGCTGCTCTTTTGCTGGCAAAGCTAGAAAACTTCTTTTTCCTATAAATAAATAAAGGGGGACTACAGCTCAGTTGGTAGAGTGCTTGCCTCGTATGCACAAGGCCCTGGGTTCAATCCCCAGCACCACAAAATAAATGATAACATAATTAATTAATTATAAGCTGAGTACCCTTTATCTGAAATGCTTGGAACAAGAAGTGTTTCAGTCTGGGAGGACATTTTGGATTTTCTAATTAGGTATTCTTAGTCTATATCTGCAAAATAAGGGCTACAAATACAAAAGAATTTTTAATCAATATATAGATTATTTGCAAAGTTGTGTATTATTCTGATCTTTGCTAGTGTTGACCTAACCAGTGAAGAAACAACTGATTCCACCAGTTCAAAAATCAACCTATCTGAAAATACTCAGCAAGAAGATGGCAGCATGTTCTCTCTCATTACGTGGAATATTGATGGATTGGATCTGAACAGTCTGCAGGAGAGGGCTCGTGGGGTGTGTTCCTACTTAACTTTGTAAGTATCACTTTTGTTGATCATTTACTATGACAATGTGTCTTATATAGCTATGGAATGACAGCTCAGTGTTGTGGGCTTTAGAATTAGATTTAGGTTCACAGGAGACACTTGTGAGGTGATTGCCTCCAAGAGTAGCATCTTGAGGTGGGACAGATAGGAAATACCAATTTTTGTTAGAAGCCTTCTAGAATTATTTTACACAGTAAACTTTGTGTGTAATTACTATAACTACTGTGAAATTAAAATTCAATGATCTGTTTTTACCCTGCACCAGTTAGTGACTTGGACAAACCACTTAAAGTTTTCTGGAGTTTAGTTTTCTCACTATTTTAAGAGAATCAACAGAGATAATATTGAAAGCATCTATTAAAGGGCAAGATCATTATAGGTTCTCAAGTCATTCAGTGTGTTTTGGTGGTGGATTTTTGTTTTTATGGTGCTAGGGATTATGTCCAGGACCTCACACAAGCTGGGCAAGTGCTCTGACTCTGAGCTACATCCCTGGCCTTTGTTCTTTTTAATTTGATCATAATAGTGCTGAGTGTTAAGTAACATAAATCTTTCTCATTTTATCATGACTCAAAGGTCAGTATAAATGTTGGATATTAAGTGCCCTAGAGGGTAACAGTTTTACGTTTCTTACACTGTGGAGTTTCTTTCATTGAGGTAGCTGAAAATGAATGGTATACCTAGTATTTACATTCAATTGATGTTTCTAATTAGGTACAGCCCAGATGTAATATTTCTACAGGAAGTTATTCCCCCATATTATAGCTATCTAAAGAAGAGAGCAAGGAGTTACGAAATTATTACAGGTAACACTTTTCCTGTTATTTAATTTGTCTTTTTCTTTGAAAAACAGGTGAAAGAGCTGAGCAGGGTGGCACATCTTTATAATCATTTATAATCTCAGCAATTTGGGAGACTGAGAGAGGAGGATCACAAGTTTGAGGCCAGCCTCAGCATTTTAGCAAAGTCCTAAGCAACTTAGTGAGACCCTGTCTCAAAATTTAAAAATGAAAAGGGCTGGGGATGTGCCTTAGTGGTTAAGCACCCTGGGTTCAATCCCCAGTACCTCCCCCTGCCTGCCAACCCCCACCCAAAAAAAAATAGATTAAAGAGATAGAGCAAAGTTTAAGTTAACCTAATGGAGTATAGAGAAGAAAAAGCACAAATATAAGTTTCAGGGAAAAAAGGTATAAGATTTCTAAAAGAATTATAGGAGAATATTACATAAAGTTTAGGGTTAACAAATGTGAAAAAGTAGTTGAAATGTCTGATTTTTTTGAAAAATGTAATGTACTACAATTTGAAACACTGGCTGTGTTTTTGGTGGAATTCAGTTAAATTGTGTGTGCTGGGATATCACCAGGGCCTGTCTGTGCTGAACATGTGCTCTGCCACTTGAGCTGCCCCCTAAGCATAGTTATTAGTCATTTTAAGCATGATAGTTACATTGTGGTTATGCTTTTTCAGAGTCTTTATTCTTTTTTTGTCCCCCTTGTCTTTTTGCCCTGAATAATTTGATTTTTTTTAAATTTTCCATTTATTTTGTTTTTGCTAAGTATGTTTATCGTAGCACTTGGCCATATCTCCTGGTTTTGATATTCAGTATTTTCTGGGTTTTTTTGTTGTTGTTGTTGTTTTTAATTTTTGCTTTTACTTAGTATGCTGTATTTAATTTTAGTTTATTCTTGAATCCATGACTGTAAAGGAAAAGAGTCTCTCAATCTCTGTTTGTTCCTCTTTGTGGGCTTCTTTTCGGCATGTTCTTGGGGGATTCTTTATGTCTCTCTTATTTTGTATTTCTTGTTTTCTGAATCCCATGCCTTGCTGTTCCTCAGTTTACTTCTTCATTTTTTGGGGGAGCCAATCCCTTGAATTACTTTTTAAGAAGTAGTTCATTGAGTAGTGAAGTTTTAAAATCCTAGAATATTGAAAATGCCTTTGTTCTAGCCTCATATAGTTGGTTGATAATTTTAAATGGATGTAGATTTCTAGGTAGGAAAGTCATTTCCCCGTGAATTTTGAAGACACTGCCTCAGTGTCTTCTAGTTTACAATGGAGGTGATGCAACTATCTTAACTTTTGGGATATATTTATTTTAATTTTATAGGCTTTCTGTTCACTGAACAGTTTTCTTTCTTATATACTTTCTTTCTTTCTTTCTTTTTAGTTGTAAAAATGAACACTATACCTTTATTTTGTTTTTGTTTTTTGTTTTTTTATTGATTTGTATGTGGTGCCAAGGATCAAGCCCAGTGCCTCACACATGCTAGGCAAGTGCTCTACCACTGAGCTACAGCCCCAGCCCCTTATGTTTCTTCTTGATTAATGAATACTGCAGCTTATTTCTAAGAGCCATCTTTCTTCTTGTTGTTGGTTTTAGGTTTTAATCTGTGTGCCTTCACTTCCTTCTCATCTCTTTTGATCTATTTTTGTGTCAGTCATGTTACCTTAGACCTGATACTTAAATGTCGAGGAATCCTTGGCTCTTGATACAGTTAAATGCAAGGTACTAAAGAACCGATTGCAACTTAATATTTCTGGGCAAGTTTGGGTAGTACACCTCACCAGAGGTGAGGGAAGCATTCGTTCATTTTAGAGCCAATTGCTTATTGAGTTGAGGGAGATCCCCGATTGTCTGTGTGTCAGTGTGTAGAAGCCTTTAACCTGAAACCATTCAGTTGCTTTAAGAAAAAATTCTTCTTAAGCCAGGATTGTGTGTAGCACATGCCTGTAGTTCCAGCTGAGGCAGGAGGATTGCTTACGTCCAGGAATTCAAGATTAGGCTAGTCAACATAGCTGGACCTGAGACCTCCATCTCAAGAAAAACAAAATAAGAGGAATAAATTCCTTAGCTCTGTCTTCTGGGTGTTGGTGGTGTGCTTGTATTGCCTTCTTGCTAGTAGGAGGTCAGTGGGAGGGAGCAGCTGAGGCACCCTCTCTTGAGTAGGCACACCTTCATTTTATCCTTGTTTCTAGTCCACACCTCACTCATTCTCGTCTCACCCCTCCCGTAACAGCTGGTGATCTCTAGTCTCCTGTTAGTATCGGGACCACTGGCTGCCCAGAGGTGTAGAAGACCTTTGGGATGTGTTTAGCCCCGTAGTCAGTCCTTCTCCTGGCCTCCTGTCCTGAGGTCAGCACCTGTCTTCTGTAGTAGCCTTATGGTCCAGTCCTGTTTCCACACTTTGGTGGAACAAGCCTGCTTGCTTCTCCTTGGTGGTCCTCTATCTGCACTCAACTGGTTCCCCGCTGTGCTGATAAACCAGTTACCACTTGTTTCCGTGCTCTCTCTTTTCTGCTGTTGGGAACTTTAATTCGCTGTGCTTCTCTTCTTATTCTCTTTCCTTCTGACAGGTTTATATCTTTCTAAATTTTTTTATTCATTTGTAACAATTTTTCTTCTAGCGTGAGATGTAAATACATATAGTATGATATATAAATTCATCTAGATTTGCCTTAGTTTAAGTCTCATCTACTCTATACCAGAAATTTCTCAAATTTTCTCATTTGATATTGGCATCAAGTTAACTACCTGTGCATTTCTTTCTTTCTATTCTTTATTTTTAAAAATTTTTTGCTAGGGATTGAACTCAGGGCCTCGCACGTGGTGAACAAATACTCTACCTGAACTACACCCCCATCTCTGTTTATTTTTATTTTTTTTATGTCTTCCATGCTTCTGATTAAACTTTGGGATGGGACAGGTAAACATAGGCTAGATTGGCCGTGAGCTATTTTGAAGAAGTTTAAAGATTTAGATCCATTTAAATATGTTACCTTTTGTTATAAAATCTTCAGTAAAGAAACTTGTGATAAACTGAATTTTTCCCTCACACATTTGAAGGTCATGAAGAGGGATATTTCACAGCTATAATGTTGAAGAAATCAAGAGTGAAATTAAAAAGCCAAGAGATTATTCCTTTTCCAAGTACCAAAATGATGAGGAACCTTTTGTGTGTTCATGTAAGTCATTTAAATTTGAGGTGTTTTTCTTTTTTTTTAGAATTTTTAAAAGCAATCCCATGATGTTGTCTAGTTTTAGAAAACATTTTTTAAACCACTACAGAAAAATTTGCTCCTTATATATAGTCTTTTAAGTAGTCTTAAAAAACTTTGTTGAATTATAGATAGGCATGTAAAAATAGAATTCTTAACCTGTTAGATTTTTCCTAAAAATATTTGAGAGTTTTCTAACATTGTACATTTACTTCTTAAAAAACGTTTATACTCAATGTAATTCTATTTGACTCTGTTGTTGTTTGTGAGGCTTATAAAAGTGAATCAAATAGGTCTTGCTTTTATACAGTTGATAGATTAGTGAGGGAGAGATTGTGTATATAGTAAATAAAGAGGTGTAAGTGGTATTGTGTGTAAATTAAGAGAAAGGAGAAATGACTATTAGCCTTATTGTACAGGTGGGGAAATCACCATGTACAGACACTTAGGAGTTACAAGAGGTGTTTGTGTACAGGTATGGACAAGCCTTCTCTGCATTTGGGTGCAGAGGCATGAAGTCAATAGCGTACAGGAGGTTGACAAGTAAGCATGGTCCAGATTATAGAAGGGCATGAATCCTATATGAAAGAATTATACTTGGTTCTGCAAACTTTAGTATAATATCAAATCCTATGTTGTTAATATCTTAAATGCAAAAGGTAAATGGTTCTCAATTAAGTGACTTTTTATTTATTTTTCAATACTAGGGATCAAACCAGGAGTGCTGTATCGTTGAGCTATATCCTCAGCACACCAACACACACACACACCCTTCTCCCCACTGCCCCCAATTTTGAGACAGGGTCTGTCTAAGTTTCCCAGGCTGGCCTTGAATTTGTGATCCTCCTTCCTTAGCCTCCTAAATTACTGGAATTATATAGGTGTGCACCACTACACCCAGCTTGAGTGTCATTTTTTGAGTACCTGTGTGCCAGGTCCTAAATAATATAACAATAAATAAGAACCATTTGTGCTTGAAAATAATTTATGGCTTTGGAGAGAAATTTCTGTCTTAATTTAGTCTGGAGGCTTTAACAGAAGCCTGTGCGGTGTGCAGTAGGCATCTAGAGGAGAGAACTAATGGCCTGGAGAACCTGGGGAAGTGCAGGTAGCATGTGCTTGCTAAACAGCTTTCTTGGTGCCAGGGTTAGTACAGTACACTTCTTCCATCAAGAGGAATAGTAAAATATTTACCAGTTGATTGAATAGTGTGCAGTTTTGTTACCATCGTCCAGCATTAGTGATCATTGGTCATTTTAATAATTATGCATCTTGTTGCAGGTGAGTTTGTCTGAAAATGACCTTTACCTTATGACTTCCCATTTGGAGAGCACCAGAGGACATGCCAAGGAACGAATGAGTCAGTTACAAATGGTATTAAAGAAAATGCAAGAGGCGCCAGAGTCAGCCACGGTTATATTTGCTGGAGATACAAACTTACGGGATCAGGAAGTGAGTAACCAGTCAGTCCAGTGTCTGTGAAGAAGTTATTGCTATGGAAGCTAATTTAGGTTCCTTTGATCAAAGCCGTTGAAACTAGGACCTTTGATCACTCAAAGTGTATACATAACCTTGTAAATGCAAGGCAGAAAATACTTGTTTAGCCTTTGCTGAATATATACATACCTAGGGGTAGGAGAGACTCTAATTAGCGAAAACAAATGTAGCATGTGAAATAGATAACATGAAACAAATGTATATATGGGATTTAATAAGAGGCATATAGAGAAAATAATGTTTAGAGGAATTTAGAAAAGGTTAAGTTTATTTGCGTCATTCCTACTTGCGAGGTGAAAAGAACTGAAAAGTTTGACCATATTAGTTAACCCTCTGTCTTCTGAAATTCTTTTTTTATTTTATTTATGTATCCAGTGGTTCTGGGAATTGAACCCAGGGCCTCACACATGGAAGGCAAGTGCTCTACCACTGAGCTACATCCCCATCCCCCCAATTTTGTCAAGTTTTATTCTGCATACTTAGAAATTTGAGATTTTAAAACCATGAAAGATATTCAGTCACACTAATAATTAACAAAATGTAATGGTATATTTCTAGACAAAAATCTTTATATTGATATGTCATAATAATTATCAATATATTTACTCCCTTTTCCTGCCGTCACTGTGTCCAGGACTAAAAGTTTCTGTCCCCTCAGTTTAGTTGAGATAGCGTAGGGATTTTTTAGGACCTCAAAAAATTAAATGTAGAATTATTATATGATCTCCGGGCTGGGGTTGTGGCTCAGTGATAGAGCACTTGCCTTGCACATGTGAGGCATTGGGGTCAATCCTCAGCATCTCATATAAATAAATAAAGGTATTGTGTCCATCTACAACTAAAAAATAAAAACTTAACAACAACAAAAAGAATTATTATCTGGTCTAGAATTCTGCTTCTAGATATTCACCTAGAAGAAGTGAAAGGTAAGGACTTATACAGATATTTGTATGCCCTTGTTCACAGCAGTGTTATTCACAATCCCTAAAAGGTACAAGCAGGGCTGGGGTTGTGGCTTAGTGGTAGAGCGCTCGCCTAGCACAGGCAAGGCCCTGGGTTCATTCCCCAGTACCACATAAGATAAATAATAAAGATGTTGTGTCCACCTACAACTAAAAAATAAATACTGAAAAAAAAAAATAGTACAAACAACCCAAGTGTAATTGTACATAATATATACATACAGTGTAATATTATTGAGGCTTAAAAGGGAAGGAAATTTTAGCTACTGGCGGTGGTGCATACTTGTAATCTCAGTGACTCAGGAGGCTGAGGCAGGAGGTTGCAAATTCAAGGCCAGCCTTGGCAACTTGGGAAGATCCTATCTCAGAAAAGGATAGGGGTGCTCCAGATATAACTCGGTGGTAGCTCAGATTCAATCCCCAGTGCCACAAAAATAAAATTAAAAAAAAAAAAAGTTTGACATATGCCACACGCTAATAAATCTTAAATTATTCTAACTGAATGAAGCCAGTCCACGCAGTTCAAAATATTATGCTATTTCTCTTACATGAAAAACAGAATGACAACTGCCAAGGACTGGGAGGACACAGAAATTGTGAATTGGTGTTATTAATGGATATAAAGTTTCATACAGAGGAGAGGGTCTAGAGATGGATGGTGGTGATGGTTGCACAACAATGTGAATATACTTAATCTCAAAGAATCGTGTTCTTAAAAATGGCTAGAGTGATAAACTTTGTGTAGTACAGATTTTACTATAAACAGATACAACTTTATTTTGTGTTTATTTATTTGGTGCTGGGAATTGAACCCAGGGCCTCAAACATGCAAACATATACTCTATTACTGAGCTATGCCCAGGCCACAAAAAATTTTTAAATCCTGGATTTGAATGGGAGAAAGCTCAATTTTGTTCGTATGCTTAAAATATAAATGCTCTATGTCTAAATTTGTAGTGTAGTAGTTTTTTCCTTCTTCTCATGTAAGTTCAGTTTTCAAAAACTAACAGCAATAACTGAAGCCTTAGTGTTCAGCCTTCTGTGTTTTATCTGACACCCAGAATTAGTATTCATGGCAGAAGAGAAGGGACAAATTTTGAACCTCTATAGCTCTCTCAATATTTATATATTACCTATGTGTTACCCTGTAGCATTATGCTTCTTATTATGTTTCTAGTTATATCACATTAAGCATTAACAAATCATTTTTGGCATTCTGGTTTAAAATGTTACACATAGATATGATAATAGCAAACACTTTTTTAAATAAGAAAAAAAAAAACAGTGTGAATCATCATCCTTTTTTTCTTCTTCTTCTTCTTTTCAGGTCACTAAATGTGGTGGGTTACCTGACAACATCTTGGATGTGTGGGAGTTTTTGGGCAAACCTAAGCATTGCCAGTACACATGGGACACACAGATGAACTCCAATCTTGGAATATCTGCCGCTTGTAAGCTTCGTTTTGATCGGATATTTTTCAGAGCAGCAGCAGAAGAGGGCCACATTATTCCCCGAAGTTTGGACCTCCTTGGGTTGGAGAAACTGGACTGTGGTAGATTTCCTAGTGATCACTGGGGTCTTCTGTGCAACTTAGATGTGATATTGTGAAATGTTTTCACATGTGAGTTTAAATGTTTGAGTAGACTTCTGAACTTTTTGCAGGTATCGTTTCTACCTATCTGGAAAGGTAGGTTTCATATAGAGGAATTAATATACTGGAAAATTGTTTCAGAAAAAAAAAAAGATTTTATAGATTATGTTCTCAGAATTCTGAGTTAAATATTAATGTCTGAGGCTGGGGATATAGCTCAATTGGTAGAGTGCTTGTCTTGCATGCATGAGGTCCTGGGTTCAATCCCTAGCACCCCCCCACACACACACACACACACACACACAAATAATAATAATAATAATGTCTGTTTAAACATGCCTGTGTTCAGAATGTGAGGTCATTTAGTGAAAGGGCATAAATTCTGTGGGAGCTCTGTCAGTGTTCATAGCTTCCAGATAGATTCCCACCAGGGGCCACCTTATCTCGGGACTAACCTTTATAGTGTTTTTCAATCAGGCACCAAAATAGTAATAATTTTTAAAAGTCACTGAAAGAAAAAACAGATTACTTAGTTCCTGGACCTGGATCTCTTATCATATTTCACAAGTTTAGATAATCTCAAAAGAAAAAGCCACACTCCTCTGTTGTTAGTGACAGCTATCCTGCATCCAACTTAAATAGTACATAATTGGTAAGCTATAAATGAAGTCTTATGATTTAAAATTTCTTAACTTTTTTCTGATTAATGGTGTAGGTATGTTGCTAACAAAGGCAAAATTAGTCTTGATAATGATTAAAATCAGATTTATAACAGCATGGATCCTTTTTCCTAAGAGAAAAATAAATACATAAAGAGAAATAACCTTTTAGTTTTGCTACTTGTAAGATAGAGCTATTTTACAATAAATGAATTAAGAGTATTTTTTTTCTTTTCTTTTTTTTTAAGTTTAAAATGTGCTTTAAAGTTTGTGTGTGTATGTAGGGGGGTGACCCCAAGAGAAATGTACTGTAAATAAAGAATTTTGTGTTTATAGTTTAGTGTGTTTCTGTGTTCCCTATTTCTGGCTCCACTGCTGTTACTTCAACCTTTTATGAAAGAAAACAGCTTCCTATGTTTCCTCCCCCTCAAGAAATCATCAAGAATAATTTTCTTTCTTAGTACATAAAAATGCCGTGGCAAAAACTAGAATGAGAAGTTACAGGACCTTATTTTCATCAGTGGTTAACTGAAACACCTATTTGATTGTTGTGATGTTCCCTTTGCAATGACTCTGGAAAGGAGTTTTACATGTTAATCACAAGTGAAAGTTGGTGTAATATTTTAGTAGCATATATCATGGAATTAATGGTTCGTTTCTGTGGGAAAAAAGAATGGATCTGGGATAAATTTCTTATTCACTTGATGAAATTAATTTAGAGGAATCCCAGCATATCACAACTTTTTTTTAAATGGTAAAATGTGCTGTGTGGTATATTAAAGGATGATCAGGTTGTTTTAAAACTCTGCAAGTATCATTTCTTTTACATAACACACGAATCCGCGTGAAGTACCTGTTTGCTGCTCATAATGAACAAATCTAAAAAAGAAGCTGTAGTGAAGTGAATAGGAATACGCAAATCACTCATTTTTAATCTTTTTAATTGAGACAGCGTATCTTGAAGGATAGCATGTATCAATGTGTAGTAAATCAAAGCATTAACTCCCATCTCTTAAGTTATTTTTGTGTGGCGAGTATCAGTTTCCATCCACAGCCCGAAAGCTGCATGCAAGTCGTCAGCGTGCAGAGTGGCCCAGTGGGTCCCCTGAGGCTCTGCTGGAGAGAGGGGCAGTTCCCAGGCCTTTGACCGGGTGCTGGGCCCCAGCCTCTGAAGGCACGTGGCCGCTGTTCTTCAGGAAGGAGCCCTCATACCCGGGCCGCGGTGGGGAGGGAAGGAAGCGGGAAGCAGGGGCCACTCTGCACCGCTGGGTCCCCTGCGCTGTTTGATGCACCTCCTGGGCTGGGCAGGGACTCTGCTGCCGCGCAGGCGCGAGCGTCGCCGTGGCAACTGCGAGGCAGCGGAGCCTGCATCCCCCGCTGGGGACCACCGCTCTGGGCGGCCTGCTGCCCCGCCTAGGTGCGACTCGCCCCGAGCCAGCAGCGCTTATCCCTGCTGGGAGGTACCTTGACAGATGCGAGCCGGGCTGCCCGTGTGTGTCTGGGGCCGGGAGAGGAGCAGGTAGGGCGCGACCCAGGCTCAGAGTTGGGGGCAGCCACGCCAGGTGGTACCCTGCTTCCCAGCCTGCGGGTGGAGGCGCGGGGAGGGCGGGGCGGCCAGCCGCAGGCGCCCAGGTTTGGGGAGATGGCTTCTTCCTGACACCGAGAGAAGGCGTTTCCGGGGTCGCTGCGATGACTGGCTGTTTCTCAGGGTGGAGTTGGGAAATTGCATTTCTTGGATCTGAAGTATCATTGTCTTTAAACTTCGTTCAATGCTATTTATGCGGTATTTGCTCTCATTTACTAAATGCATGGTCTCTATTCCATATTGTAATTTGAAGCTTAAACCCTGCTGAAGGCTGGCTGTCCCTGCAAAGAATGTAAAAAAATTAATCAGCACAAACCTGAAATTATGAATCATCATTCTTGAGATCATTTGTTTTCCTATAGGGGGAGAGGGAAGAATATTATATCCATGCACATTTTTATTGCTGGTTTGCTCATCTAAACATTCTTGTTTGTGATTGAAATGTTAGTGTTTTTCCCAGGGCTTGAAGAGAAAAGTTGGATTTTTTTCATGTTAAAATCTTTCCCCGCCCCTTTTCTGCTGTCCTCCCTCCTCTCCTGGTTCTCCTTCCTCTACTCTACTAGATTGCCTTTTGCTCAGCTATTTATTTATATTTAATTGGTTCCTTTTACTTATAAATAAAGGTGGAATTCCCTGTGGCATTATATGCACAGAAGGTGGTGTTTTATGAATTCATTCTGCATTGCCCCCCCCTTCATCCCTCTAACCTGCCTCTCAATCTCCTTCTACATTACTGATATTTCCCTTGATCTTTATAATATCCTATCTTTCCCTCCCACTTTCCTTTATTTTTCTCTAGCTTATGCATTTGAGAGGAAAAAATTTGACCCTTGAGTTTCTGAGTTTGGCTTATTTGACTTAGCATGATTTTCTCCATTTCCATCCATTTACTGGTAAATGCCATAATTTCATTCTTTATGGCTGAGTAGAACTCTATTGTATATATAAACACCAAGGTTTCTTAATCCATTCACTTATTGATGGGCACCTGGGTTGATTCCGTAACTTAGCTACTGTAAATTGTGGTGCTGTAAACATTGAGGTGGCTTTATAGCTATAGGATGCAGTTTTAGATCTCTGGGGAAAATACCATGGAGTGGGAGAGCTAGTCATATGGTGGTTCCATCCCTAGCTTTTTGAGGACTCTTCACGCTGCTTTCCAGAATGGTTATACTAATCTGCAGTCCCACCAACAATGTACAAGTGTACCTTTTCCCCAGAACCTCGCCAATGTGTCTTATTGTTTTTCTTGATCATTGTCATTCTGATTAGAATAAGATGAGATCTTAGTGTAGGTTTTTGTTTTTTTTTAATTTCCCTAATTACAAGAGATGTTGAACTTTTTTCATATATTTGTTGGTCATTTGTGTTTATTTTTTTTTTTTTTGAGAAGTTTCTGTTTAGTTCTTTTGCCCATTTATTGATTGGGTTATTCATTTAATTAATAATTTGTGGGAGGTTAAGTTTGTTGAGACCTTTATATATTCTGGATATTAATCCCTAGGGGAGGAATAGCTGGCCAGGATCCCCCCATTCTATAAGCCCTCTCTTCATGCTCTTGATTATTATTTGCTGTGCAGAGCTCATTAGTTTGATGGCATCCCACTTATTGATACTCAGTTTTATTTCTTGTGTTTTGGTGGTGATGTTTTTGATGATGGTGATGATAATAATAAAATAAATTGTCAACAACCCCCCAAGAAAACATGGATTTTTTCAAAGTGAATGTCAGTGTTTATTTCTTCTGAAAAGCATGCTCACTGTTCAAATGCTTCAATTTGTTTATTAAAAGACCACAGTCACACAGTCATGGATACTACTGAAGTTATGCCAAATGAAAATTTTATTTTGTGCTTATTATTTTACCTTACTTCTAATGCCAATGAAAGGTGGAGATATCAATTCAGTTATAGACTTCAGAGTCATAGAGAAAGCCAATTCCCCTGTAAATTGAAAAAAAAAATGTAAACGTATGAAGACATTTTAGAACAACTCATCACAACTTTACATCATGTAAAATGCAGAGGTAGGGTCTTAACTTCCCTAGAATATCAAAAATAATTAAGACACATTCACACTCAACACACACACAGACATACATATATCCCACATATACATATCAAAATATACATATTGGTATTGGAGGTTGAACCCCAGCAGTGCTGTATACTGAGCCATATCTCCAGCCCTTTCTGTTTTTTATTTTGAGACAGGCTGTCTCCAAGTTGCCCAGGCTGGCCTCAAACTTGTAATCCTCCTGCCTCAGCCTCTTGAGTAACTGTGATTACAGGTATGTGCCACAACACATGATAATATCTTTGTGTATTAAAAATAGTCAAAAGAAACTTCAGTAAGTTATTGATATATAAAAGAATGGGCTTTCTGTTAAATTTTTCTCTTGACTTCATTTTTCCCCCTAGTCAAACAGAATAATTCTAAGTCAATATGCAGAACCAGGTGTGTCCTTTTCTGGGGAAGAATGATGCAGATGCCAGATGAGAGAGATGGCCTATGTTCTTCTGTGGCTCTGTTGCTTGTTGCAGTGTCACATACAGGAAATTCCATAATGTCTCTCAGCCTCCATTTCCTCATCTATAAAACAGAGAAAATAATAAGATCTACTCAGTAGAATTCCTGTGAGAACTGAGTAAAATAGGGTGCAATGGCACATAGTTAGCCTGGGCAGTGTAGAAGAATCACTCCACCCCAGTCTCAAAAAAAAAAAGAATATATGTTAGAGCTCTAGTTGCCTGGCATTCAGTCATGCAGTAACATTTTACTGAAAAGGTTGTAATTTTTAAGATAGGTTTTTGTTTTCAGAAAATATTTTCTATATCTTCAAAATAATTTAGCACTAAAAAATTATTTTGATTAAAATATATTTTGAAAGTCAAGTCATAAGAAAATGCATAAAATTTCCCTTTTAAGATCTTTTGACAATTATGATAGTCATAAAGGCATGGCAATTTGACATCCAGGTAAGAGCTTTGCTTGGAATAATGGGGAGATTATTATTCTATTTGTTTTCTTTTTAATTTGTGGATTCAATGACAAAAATTATTTTCTCATTTATTTCTATTAAGCAATGATTTTGATTGAGCCAAAATAAAATAATGTCTGGTTTTGTATTATCTTGCAGTCTTTTAAATGTTTATTTTTTAGTTGTACTTGGACACAATATCTTTATTTTATTTATTTATATGTAGTGCTGAGGATCAAACCTAGGGCCTCACATGTGCTAGGTGAGCACCCTACCACTGAGCAACCACCTCAGTTCCCTATCTTGCAGTCTTTTAACAGTATGTGAGTTTCAGAGTAAGGCTTTAGATAGTAGAGGTTGAATGTTGGAGTTTTAGGTCTGTTTCCTTTCAGATAATATTGTAGAGCTATTTTTCCTGTTGGAGCGTTTCAGTACTTTCATCTCAGTGGTCATTCTTTTCCGTAAGTTCAAAAGAGCAAGGACTTTATACAAAGGTAAAAAATTGTCCTCTATGTAATAAGAATTGTAATACCTTCCGCTGTTGTGTTTTCAAAAAAATAAAATCAATAAAAAATAAATAAAAAGAGCAAGGGATTTCAGTATAGCCTGTTTAATTTAGCAGTGTAGCTAGAATAAGAGGGTAACTTAGACTTCAAG